TCAAACCCAAATCCCCCCAACCCCCCCCCCCCTCCAATTGGCACAAATATTAGATACCTACACCCGATGTAAACAAATTTTCTGACCTTTTCCTATGCTGACATCTGAGTGCATTGTATACTCCATGTCTTTAACTGAATACCTCTTTTTATAAGTTTAACTAAATACATTTTCCTGGTAGCGGATTACTAATTTCAGCCTCCCAATATCACAAGTCAAGTTGCTTTTCATGGGATCCATGAATAATCATTTGATAAGATTGGATCAATTTCTAAAGAAAAAGTTTCCAAAGTCAATATATACGAATGCACATCAAAATGCTATTTGTGAGTGATAATTAATCCCTCTACAAACTAATATTTTTAAACATTACAAGACATTTAAGTTCAAATTATTACTCTATATTACTCATTCTTATGACGTCTAATCATGATTGATACCATTCTGTTTCTGTACAGCTTTCACAATTTTCAAGAATTCAAATTGATGAAGTGGTTCAAATTTTAAACTTTGATGTAATGTTTTTTCTATTAAATTCATGTTTTCTCCACAAGCAGTAATATATTTGTAAGTCAAAACATCTTATTTGCAATGTTCAATCAAATACTTCCATATAAAAAGGGATGAAGCCTGAAGGAGTATAATATTCTAGCCCTTTTCTCAGAGATAATGAAATGATAAAAGGAGTGAAGCTAAGAACTAATGTCAAGAAGCAAAAGTCAAAAAACAAAGATTCTAATTGCACGGTCAGAGAAGATTCTAGTATCTGTCTCCTTCCATATATCCAATAACCATGAAAATTTGTCTGCTTTAGAAATCCTCACAGCTAGATACCCCCAACCAACACAAAATCTTCAAATATTTGCATTTATATCTCGGAATCTCCTCCACATGTATTCCAGGGGTGACAAAGAAGAAGATTCCACTGTGTAGCTAGGTATAAAATTCCTTTTTATGTATATATAGTACATATTGACATCCCTTATTGAAAATCCTAGCTCCACCACTGCTTCCCATAATGAACAACAAAATTCACAATCAGGAAAAGCCAAAATAACAGAACAGCTTATTTTGTTTTCTGGCAGTGAAGCAACTCAGTTTAATTACTTTGATTGGTTTGTGGTCCAATGATACTTTTCCTACTCAAGGTTTTCTATTTCCCTTGTATCCCCCCTCCCCCCTCCCCCCTTCTCTACCGTCTCTTTCTTCCTCCCACTCCAACATCAAATAAGTAAGGACTTCCGATGTTCAACTAACAGCTCCTTAATGGAGAGAAACAATGTTCACTATATTCTTTCTGATTCCTTCAAAATCTTTTAAGCAACACAAATAGAAAAGCATTTCAAACAATAACATGTAATATTTTGCATTCAGTGCGGCAGTTTTTTAGAACAACTTCCAAAACCTAAAACAACTGACTTGTGGACTCGAGCATCTAAATATGAATGAAGAAGAACTAAGCTTAAAGACGGCCAGAATTCATGGTTGAAGTTCAATACAGGTCTCCAATGAAACATCAGTGAGTCCTATATGTCCTATTTTCAACAGGTTTCAAGGCTCTCGGTAAAACTCCATGACAAGTCCAAAACATACTCAAATAATTATTATTCAACTCTCAAAAACATTAAGATCTCACTTCAAAACTCAAATGAACTCCCCCTACTACATTGAAAATGAAATGAAAGGGGACATACACACTCACACTTCCACAACTCAAGAACTTTAATCAGATATGAAACATGAAATAGCTCTTTTTTTTTATGACAAGGGAATCCGCAACCACTACCCCTTGGGTGACCACAAGGCAAACCTGGCTCTTGTGCAACCGCTCGCAAACCACAAAGGAGAGGGAAACCACACTAGGCAGGCGTGTGCGAGAAGATGAAATAGCTCATTAGCACATTAATTCAACCAAAAAGGTGAAAAAGCCCCTCTTTTCAGAATTGAAGTAAAGAAAAGCTCTCTTTTTTTTCAGTTGATGATCAACCCATTTCACATATTACCAAACACAGAGAACAATAGCTCCCTTTTTTTAACATCATTCATTACTCCCATCTGCACCATGTACCAATACAACACAACACCCCCTTTGAAGAAAGATTCAAACTTTTCCTCATATATATCAAATTCACAACAACCATAATCAGCAAACCAGAAAAAACAGACAAAATTTCTAAGCAACAAAACAAAAAGTCAATAAGAGACATCATAAGAACCTCTAAAAAACGAGTTTCTTGCTCAAGTCTCTTCAATTCAGCAGATATCCGATGCTTCCCTCTAGTATCAGCTGCTGCCACAACCGATCTCACCTGTTCTGAGCTCTCTGATTGCATTTCTCACAATTAATCAAAACCCAAATACCTAAAGAATCAGAGAAGTTCAAAACTAAAAAAAGAACCCCATCTTATATGAAAAACAAGAAACCAAATCCCTAAAGAATCAAAATCGTGCAAGTGAAGCTATAGATTCTGTAACTGTTCAAAGACTAAAAACAAAGAGCCCCATTTGGAAAAAGAATCAAGAAAACACTCAATTTTCATTAAAAAACAAAAAAAATTGAGATTCTGGAACTGTTCAAGAAACCAGAAAAAGGGTTTTAGCAGTTTCTGCAGAACAAGAAATGGACAATTGAAGAGACAATGCAGAGTGCTTGGGGGGTAGAAGAAGTGGGGTGGTGGGGGTTTACTTTTGTTTTGTTGTTCTACAAAGTGAATTGAAATGTTCCAAGGGATAGGCAAAGCAGAAAGAACAAAGAAGAAAGATGAAACCAAAAAGAAGAAAAAAAACAAAAAGGAAAGTTGGCTTTTTTGGTTTTTAAATTATTTTTCTTTTTGAATAATGAGAAAGTTGGTAATCTTTTTTCACTTATTTTACTTTACAAAATATTCTTCCTTTTTTGTCTCTTTTTTCTTTTTTGCTTCTGTGTGTTTGGGTTTTTGGGGTGTTGGGGGTGGGGGGTGGACGCGAAATCAGAGTTTTGAATTTTTATAATAATGATTTCAAGTGTTAATACACGGCTAAATTCTAAATTTAATATACTTCTTAATACAAATATATGATTTGAGAAATATGATTTAACGGTCGAATTCGTACTCAAACTTCTAACTCCGGCTCTAAAAGGGTTGAGGGGGATAAGCTGAAGTTCTCCGCGAAATCAGAGTTTTAATTTTATTAGTTTTGAACTTTTATAACATTTTATACGTTAATAACTAAATTCTACATTTAATATACTCTTTAATATAAATTATATCATTTGAATAAAAATAATTAAATTCGATCGAATTCGTACTCGAGCACTCGCCCAGAGAGAGTATTGAGGGGATTAAGGGGAAGTTTCCCACTGTTGAGTTCAGCAACTGAGCACTTGGAAGTTGGAACACTGATTTGTCACCCTCAACAGTAAGCTCCAATATATATCAATATCAGTACCATCTATATTACCTCTTTGTTTCAATTTATATAATATTATTTAATTAAATATATGATACTAATAAATATTAGCTGGCTTGCTCCCAACTTTTAATCTATTTCTACATAGAATAGAATGTCAACAACCTTGAAATTAGCAGTCGAATTTAGGGAGTTGTGATCCATCCCAATACATATAATTTAACTGATTTCCTATAATTATATTATAATGAAAGCCAGATCATTTTGAGTTGGTGTTGAATTCTTTTTTTTTTATAACGATGGTTTTCAAGTCAATTATCGCACATCTCGATTAATTTAACGAGATATCTGTCATCTCCCACCAAAATAATTCTGTCCACCAAAGGTAGGACAAATAGGAAAATCACTTAATATTTTTTTATCAACACTGAATTTTGAACATGAGATCTCATAATTCTTTAACACTTTCTTAGATTGTAAGCCAATGGAATTTATTGCTAAGAAGAATAATTACTTCACTGTCACGCTAACCACGCCATATTAATAAACTAGATCAACTTTTTAAGTTTGATTTTTTTGGTGGTTGTATAATTATTTTGTATACAAGTATAAAGTAAATAGTTGCAAAGAAGGAGGAGTCAGGTTGGAAGTTTTTCAACGCTAGAGCTAAACTTTAAATAATTTTAAAAAATAGATTATGTTTTAAATGACGTTGTGCACATATACTCTTTTTCAAGATTTCTATTTAAGTTGTAGCTGAAATTTATTTAAATTAACTTCAGGCGTGTGCGTTTGAAGTTCAGACATACACGTAATATGTTTGAAGTTTGATCTGTCAATATTGCTTAACTTCAGACAATTTGGAAATAAGTAAACTCATATATTTTTGTGTAAAGTTTTGATATATATGATTAATCTTTAGATATTTCATGTAGTTCAACAAAATATCAAAGACATTAATAATATCAGTTTGAGATGTAGTTTAAATAATCAATTGTCATCTCTTGCCATATTTTTAATTTTTTGTAACAACAACCACTTGATTATTTTAAACACACTTTTCATATTTTGAAATTCAAATCAACTACTTCAAGCTTGCAACAATAGTAATTTTTTAGATGATGTACAAATTTACTCCTTAAATGTTGTAAATAAAAGCAATCGGAAGAAAAAAAACAAGCTTTCAAACAACAACCTTTTAATTTTAATTTACTTTCATATATTCAATATTCAAAACCACTTATTCATGCAACAATAGTGATTTCAATGTTCAAAATCTTTACGGGTTATTATGAATGCAAAGTTTTTAAAAAGGTAACTATACTTTAAATAGCGTTGTGCAAAAAAGGCTAATTCTTTTTTAAAAAAATTGTTTTAAATGGTTCCATCACAAGCAACTACAATTGATGAAGATATGACTCAATTTAAAGTTATCGATGACATAATTTTAAATAGAAGGGTGTGAAGTATGTATTAAAAAATAATAGGCAGTGAAGTGTTGTCTTGCTTTTCAGGGGTTTAGGTGTTTGTCGCCGGAGTAGTTATAGTATTGTAGTTGGTTGTTTAGTGTGTTATGATTGTCGCACTATCTGTTGTTCTTGTTCCTTTTCTTGTAGGATTTGCACTACTTTCCTTTTTCTCACTGTTTTCTTATTTTCTGTAGTTCGATTTGCTACACTTGAGCCGATCAGAGTTTTTAGAAATAACATCTTTACCTCTATGAGATAGTAATAAAATTTATGTACATCCTACCTTCCCCAAACCTTACTCGTGGGAATCTAGTGAATATGTTATTGTCTTTGCTCACAGAGCAAACAAAAGTCAAAAGTTTAAAGTTGTTAAACTAAAAGTTTTATTAATAGAGAAAGTGAGGTTAAAAATTTAAGACCACCTACCTTTGAAGGCTATTTTTGTAAATCATTCCTTATGATTTACCAAGCCCAAATATTATTGTATAAATTATAGGAAGGAACCACATATTATAAGTACTAAATAACATCCTATCCCTTCTAGTTTTCTATTTACCAAAAATTTCTTAAAAATGATGTTTGTGGGATACATAGAGTTGTGCACGGGATACATTAGGTTTGATACATTCCACATAGCGGGATACATAGCGTTGTGCACGGGATACATTAGGTTTGATACATTCCACATAGCGGGATACATAGCGTTGTGCACGGGATACATTAGGTTTGATACATTCCACATAGCGGGATACATAGCGTTGTGCACGGGATACATAGGTAAATAAGAGATTTTTGAAAATTTTGAAATAAGTAGGGATAAATGGATATTAAGGTAAGTAAATGAGTGTAGTTAAGCAATTAATATTAGGGAAAATTGTACATAATGGCAAATTATTAATTCAAATTAAATGGTATAATCACACTTTGATTTAATTCTGTCCTGTAGCAAACTGTTTGCCAGCGCCTCTCTCCCTCAAACTCTCGCTCGCCACTCTCCTCTCTCGTTCACTCCCTCTGTGCTCGCCTCTCTCGCTTTATACAACAGAATTGTATAAATTGCGTTTCTGTTTGTATAAAGTGAGAGAAAATTGTGTATACACATGTAAATACATATATATTCGTCCTATACACTTATAATTATACAATAAAAATATTCCCCTGCCCAGTTTTATGTTTGTATAACGTATAATTTATGTTTGTATAAAGTGAAAGAGAGAGTCGATTTTGATATACAAATATTTTGTCAACGATTTATACAAACGAGAGGCTAACAACAATTTATACAAATGGCCTGCCAGCGAAATTATACAAATCTGAAAGAGGAGCCAATGAATTATACAATTGCTTCTTTTTGTATATATGTATAGCGAAATAGACAGCTTTCAATTGTATATGTATAGCGAATTATACATATATATGTTTGCTATGGGGCGCAATTATGCAAATTTTGCTATAGCATACAAATATGATTTTTTTGTTTGCTATATGTGAAAGTTGTTCTTTATATTATTCTTGTACCAAATGCTGGGCCGCTTCACCAATGCAGCCCAACATGATCCCAACACCAATTAAAATACTAGCAGCTATTTGACCATGAGAATTTTTTTTCTTAATTAAAATATTTTTTTCACTTTATTTAAAAATGCATGCTTGATTATGAAATAACCAATGATCTTTTAAAAATAGTTTTTCTATTTTTAAGAGATAGTAATAAAATTTGCATATATTCTATTGTTTCTTGATTATAAAATATTGAAATTGAGTTTAAAATTTGAAAAAAATGTTGTATTCCAACTCTACTTTTGTAAATTTCCCTACAAATATAACTAAGCATAACTCCATCAACTTCATAAATTTTAAATATTTAAAATCTCAATTGTTGTTTTTCATTAAAAAAAGAAAAGAAGGTGAAAGTTATATTTGCATGGCATTCTAACTTTTTTGTATTTTTATTAGTGTATACCTACAAGAAGGGAAGTTTTTTTTGTTTTTTATGGGAAGGGAAATGGGAAAAAATTGAAATTTGGTTGGCTCATTTGTCAAAGGGCCGATTTTTTAAGCATACAACTAAACAATTGTATTTACACCAACATAGCAATTCTTTTTTTTCCCAATTATATAGCAATATTTTTTTTTCAAAAGTAGAATTTAAATTTAAAAAAAAAAGATTTTCCAAAATCAGCCACGCTTATCCCAATTCCCATAAATTTCTCCAATAATTTTACCTTCCCTGATTTGTTCAAATTTGTTATATATTATCTCCCATAAATAGAGGTTTCCTACCAAAACAAAACTCCCTTTCTCTGAGAAGAACGACTATCGAAAAAATGCATATCAATAATTTCTCAATTCTAATTCAACACAACGGGCGATGGGACTCATCAGGTAATTGTATAAAAATAGTTCTCATGGTGTTTTATTACGTGATTGAATTTGATTTTTCACAAATATCTATTTTGTACTTTTTGGTAGTTATTTGTTTTGTTTTGTTTGTCAATTTTGGTGTAAATTAATCTGGAGCGTCGAAATTTTGGTGTAATTACAACGCCTTCATATGATTTTGTTGTACACTGATGTATCAAATTTATTTTTTGTTAAAGTTTAGGTTTAATTGGTATGATGTGTGCCGTATGGTAGCAGTTTATATCAATAGGTTTGTGATATGTATTTATGTATTTGTTTTGGTATGTGATCTGGTATATTTGTCGCTAATAACTGACAACAAACAAATAGCCTGATGTATGTTTTGGTGTATTGTTTGGTCAAATTTATATTACCTTACGTATGAACATACATATATTAAAATGATTGGAGTAATAAATTATTTGGTGTAAATAATAATATGTGAATTGGTGTAAATAATAATATGAAAAATAGTTCCTACATTTATTGATGGTAACCTGATAAAATTATAAATTTTAAAAATT